CCCTCAAATTAAATTAAATTAAACAAGAAAGCAGAACTCTGTAGGTTTCTTGAGTTAGCTCTAGGAAGTGTACAGCAATCCTTGAGTTACGACTGTAGCGGAATCCAAAATGTACGCTGCTAATAAGCGTTTCTTAAGTGAGTTTTGCTCCATTTTACGACTTCCCTTGCTGCCGTTGTTAAGTGAAACGTTGCGTTTGTTAGGTTACTCACATGGCGAACCTGGATTCCCCCTTGACTTTGCTCGTTGGAACGTGGCCAAAAAGGGATCGCGGGACTCTGCGACCGTCATAAGTATGAACTGGTTGCCAAGCGTCTGAATTTTGATCATATGGCCATGGGGACACTACAAGAGTTGTAAGTGGGGGAAATTGGTCACAAGTCACTTTTTCCAGTGAATGGTCGTTAAAGGAACAGTTGTAAGTCGAAGACTACCTCTACAGGGAAGAGCAACACAGATGATTAGGGTAGGGGTCTCCAACCTTGGCCCCTTTAAGACTTGGGGACTTCAACTCCCAAGGTTGGCTGAGGAACTCTGGGAGTTGAACTCCTCAAGTCTTAAAGGGCCCAAGGTTGGAGACCCCTGGATTAGGGGACTGGAGGATAAAACATATCAAGAACGGGGGCAGGAACTGGGCATGTCTAGTTTGATGAAAAGAAGGATGAGGCGAGACAAACGGGCCTTCTGGAAATACCAGAACTGTCAAAACGGGCCTGTTTTTCGGCCTCCTGAGGCTGCAGAGGCTTCCCTCAAGCCTTCGGGAGGGCGAAAACAGCCTCAAACCGGCCGAAAATAAGCTGGGAGGCGCGCGCATGTGCATTGCAGGAAAGTTTGGCTGCAGCTCGCATGCCCACACAAGTGGCTCTGCGTGCTACCTGTGGCGCACATGTTATAGGTTCGCCATCACGGTTCTAGCCTGTCAAGATCCATCCGATCCATTTCAACTTCGGTCTGTCCCTCAACGAATGGTTGTAAGTGGAGGAAACCGTCGCAAAAATGCCACCACCACCCCCAAAAAAATCTGCTTTTGGTGTCTTGCAGGTCACCTGCAGATCTTCGACATGTTTGTGGTGGAAAAATGGCCCATCGTGCAAGCTTTTGCGCTGGAAGGCATTGGCGGGGATGGCTTCTTCACCATGAAATACGAGGTAAGAACCGAAGGGACGTCTCGGGTTATGACCACCCTTGACCACCCAGGGTGCGTCCAGGACTCTTGATTAACTGAGCCACTTGGTGACCAGGCTATCAACTACTGCCTAGTATCTGCCAACTGGTCCTGTTGCATGGCTTCGTGAGGAAGCTGGTGTGCCATTGCACTATTGTCAGCCATCTTGGAGCCCTTCAGAGCCCCGTCAAATTCTTTGTCCGAGGCTCTCTGTCTTCCTTTGGCCTGTTTTTCCTCTGCTCTAGAAGGTTTTTCTAGGAGCTATGGCCTTGGCTGCAGCCTCTAAACCAGCTGACCTGGGCATGTGAGAGGGATGGGGTGAGAATTGTGGTCCGCTGGCGGCCTGCAAAGCTGGCAGTAGAGTCGGGCAGTGGGAAGGAACATGGGCCAGTCCTGGAGTCTGGGCAGGACTCGGACGAGGGATCTGCGTCCGAAACAGACATGGAGCCAGGGCCATCTGGGAGTGATGTACTGACTCTGGAGCCTCCAGAATCTGACATCAGCGAGGCAGAGGAACAAGGGGAGCCTGTTCCCAGTGTGCGCTTGCGCAGAGCTGCCAGAAGGCAAGAACAATTAAGACAAAAGGGGCGACTTGGGAATAAGGCTTGGAAGTGATTGGTCCTCCCATAAGACATAAAGGAGGAGCAAAGGGACAGGAGCCTTTGCAGGAAGCAACTTTGTTCGTTCTGATCGATTTAAACTCTGAAACTCGGGGTTGAATTTGTGCTCTGTTTTGGCCTTGTACAACTAATTGGCAATTTAGCCGTTGGCAGCATTTCAAGGGAGATAAAGGTGGGTGCTTATCAGCCTTATCCCGAAGGACTGTGGCAGATTTCCGTTGGACTATTCACAAACTCTTTGGGACTCATTACGGGGCTGCGAATGCAGATAATTCACGGCCGTTGAAATTTTTTTTGAAAAGGGGTTTTTGGAAACAGCGTGTGATGGTTACTGTCTCAGGAAGCCTTGGTCAGAACAAGAATCAGGCACCCCACTTTCCAGCACCCCAACAATCACCCTTTTGCATTTTGAAAGCTTTCATCTCGTGGGTGTCCTCGATGTGTGTGTTGGGGAAAGATAAAAAATGCAAGATGCCAACTGTGCGGTAGCTGTGTCGGGGTTCACAACACTCATCCCCACGAAGGGTCCATGGAAGCAGGTTCCTGAGGTAGAGCCCTGCCCTGGCAGAGGTGGTATTTGGCAGGTTCTCACCGGTTCTGGAAAACCACCGGTAGTGGAAATTAGGAGTAGTTGGGGGAACTGGCCAATCCCACCTCTGACTGGCCCTGCCCCCATCTATCTTCTGGCCCCACCCCCATTGATGCCCCCCTTCTGAGTCCCCAGCTGATTGGCTGGGACTCCTTTGGTTGCCCTGCCCAGGAGAATGGAGCTGGAAAGCAGGTTAATGGGGTGGGGGGGGTCATGTGACTAAGTGGGAGTGAGTGACATCAAGTTGGCCAGGTTTTGTGGCTCCCGCTGTGTTTTTTTTTTCTCTGTGGAAAACTGGGTCCAAATGGCTCTGAGTGTTTAAGGTTGCAGATCCCTGCCTTAGACTTGTACAACTAGTCCTTGACTTGCGACCCCAATTGAGCCCAACAATTATGTTGCTAAGTGATGCATTTGTTACGTCAGTTTTGCCCATTTTACGACCTTTCCAATCCCGTTTGCCAGCCCTGCCTAACACTGGTGGTATCCTACCGGTTTGGCCCGGTTCAGCCGAAACGGTAGCTCCGAGGATCATCTGTGAGGGAACTGGTTCGCTCCAACAATCCGCTGCTGGGCCGGCCTGCCTACCTGCCCTGGCTCTATCCTGATCTTTATTTCCTGGTTTTTGAAGCTCAGCGGCTTCACGCGGCACAGCAAATTGACGCGTGTCAGCTGTTGAAGATGTAGGGCGAGGGCAGGATTGCAAGAGAAGGTCAGCAGCAAGCCCTATGTGCGCGCGCGCAAAGCACGCCCACCAAGCCCTGCGCCCAGAACCAGTGGTTAAAAAAAGTTGTATCCCACCACTGTGGCCTAGACCCGTGATGGCGGAACTATGGCACTTGTGCCACAGGCGGCACGCAGAACCATTTGTATGGCACGTGAACCCTAGCCAAATTGACCTGCACTGTGCATATGCGTGCCTCTTGGACAATTTTCGGCCCATTTGAGGCTGTTTTCGCCTTCCCGGAGGCTGGAAGGAAGCCTCTGCGGCCTTAGGAGGCCGAAAAATGGGCCTTCCTGAAATACCGGAAGTGCCGAAACAGGCCTGTTTTTCGGCCTCCAAAGGCCGCAGAGGCTTCCCTCCAGCCGAAAATCAGCTGGAAGGCGCACATATGCACAGTGCAGGAAAGAGGGTGGGGCAGGGGTATTGCACGCACATGCATGGGGGGGCGTGGGGGGCATTGCATTGTGGGTGCCGGCGCATGCTCACTTTCAGCGCACCACAACAACAAGGTTCGCCATCCCTGGCCTAGGCTGCCCCCTGCCTCCTCCCCCGCCTTCCATGCCTCTAGGCCGCCTCCGACTTGATCTTTCTCTTCGCAGCTGATGGACGTCAGTCTGGATCTCTGGAAGGCCTACAGTAAAGTGGATCCCAATTCTTTGGAGAGCTTACTTGACGAGGTAAAGTGTCCAGAGTCTTTTTCCTGAGGGTCATTTAGAAAAATAAATAAAAACATCGATCAGCCGAGTGGTTCTGTGGACAGGCAAGGAGGAAAGTCTGCAGAGCGATGGTTCCTCGTTCTAAAATGGCTTCCAAGATGGACTCCGTTCCGGGATCACAGAGAGCAGCAGGTTCTCTCGTCTGTTTGTCGTCCAGATGCCTTTGAGAATGTTTGGGGCACGTTCGTGGCTTGTTGGAGTGGTGCGGTGGTGGCCTAGAGGCGAAGCTCTCGCCTCACAATCAGGAGGCTATGAGAGTTCGATCCTGGGTAGAGGCCGGTGTTTCTCTGGACACACTGAGAATAGATCTGCTGAACAAAACTCCGAACTAGTAACAGGAAAGGCATCCGGCCATTAAAACACTCTGCTAACTCCGTTCAGTTGCCCAGACTCCCCCACCCACCCCCAAGGGATTATGGGGTCATTAAAAGAAGAAGAAGATGATGGTCATGGCTTATTCTGCCAAGTGGCACGGGCAGTGATCAGGCCGTTGGTTCTTTTGGATCCAGGGAACATTCCAGCAAATAAAGGGGATTTTAAGCTTTACTGTTAGCGCCGGCAAACGAATGTAAAAGTGTAAACATTCAAACAAGCCGATTTAAAAGCGTCACACCGAAAGCAAAATGACAGTCCTTGACTTAGAAACCATTCATTTAGTGACCCTTCGAAGTTACAAACGGCACTGGGAAAAAAAAAGTGACTTACGACTGTTTTTCACTCTTAGCGACCGTGGTTACATGATCCAAATTCACGGCGTTTGGCCACCGGCTCCTATTTATGACCCATTGCTTTGTTTGTTAGCAAAGCCAACAGGGCGGGGAGGGGGGAAGCAAGATTTCATTTCCTCACCTTGTTCACTCGCTTAACAAGTGTGTCAGGAAAGGTCACAAAATAGGGCAAAGTTGACTTCACTGTCTTGCTTTTTGCAGTGGAAATTTTGCCTCACGTTTTGGTAAGTGAAAGGCCACCCGTGCAAAGTGGGTGGGGTGTTTTTGGTTTTTTTTTTTTCCCTCCAAATACGTTGCGCCCCTTTTCGAGTTCAGTGTGCGAGCTGTGCTCAGATCTCCATTCCCTGCCGTGTTGTGGCTTCTTTCCATTTCGTTTTTTTGGGTTTGTTTTGGGCTCCCAGCTGCGTTCGTTCCGGATTCCAAGAAGCTTTTCGTTCTAGCTTTTAATATGGTGGAGGGGTTTTCTTTAGAGAAAATGGGGAGAGTCGAAACCTGGGCCTCTGCTGACATCTAGTGGCCGTCGCCTGAATTTTATCCACTTTTTTTTCTTTCAGCCAGTTGGTATCATTTTAAAAACAGACGCTTGTGTAGATAATTTCTGCCCTGAAGCATCCTTCCGAGCAAGTTCTGTTAGCAGAACCTCTCCAAAAAGAGGCATATTAAGCAATCGATTGGATAGGTGAGGTGGTGGACCTGTCTTAAGGGGGCGCACGTCTTTTTTCTCAAACCGAAACCAATCCGTTTTTCGCTGAAATCAAATCGGAGGGATTGCTTTCAGCTGGGCAGGGCGAGGTTGGTGGAACGCTGCCTAATCTTTCCCCATATCTGTACAAGACCTTGGTCAAGGCCGAGCCTTCACGTATCAAGGAGGAGACCCTTCGGGGCCAGGTTGATCTAATGGTTGAGTGTTCAGGTTAGAAACTAGGAGATGGGGAGTTCTAGAGTGCTTTAGACATGAAAAATGGCTAGCTGACTTTGGGCCAATCGCTAGGAGACTGGGAGTTCTAGCCCCACCTCAGATACGAAACCGAGTTGGGTGACTTTGAGCCAGTCACTCTCCTGGAAAAATAGGAGGAGGAAGGAATATGGCAAGTGTTTCCTGCCTTAAATTATGTCTTAAAATGATAAAGCTGGGATATAAATAAGTTATATCAAACTGCATGCTCTTTCTCTCTCTCTCTCCCTCTCTCTTTTGATGTCTTACTCCTCCTTCCCTGCTTAGTGGAATCTGTTACCAGCAGCTGCTACTGCCAAAAGGATAGGCTGATGCAATTTATTTAATGTTTTACTCACCGTTGTTGTATTGAACCCCGAGTTGCTTGAGTTGAGAGTCTGATAAGAAGCAGGTTATTATAGTTGTTTTGCAAAATGTTTGGAGCAGGTTATCCTTGCTCTTTCCACCTCCATAATTTGCCTTCCATGGAGGACCTGTATATACTGCAGGAGTCAAAAAGGGGGCTGTGAAAATATTTACAGACCCCTTACATCCCGGATGTAAACTGTTTCAACTCCTTCCCTCAAAACGACGCTATAGAGCCCTGCACACCAGAACAACTAAACACAAGGAGAGTTTTTCCCCAAAAGCCATCCCTCTGCTAAACAAATAATTCCCTCAACACTGTCCCACTATTTACAAAATCTGCACTACTATCACTATTACTCTTCTCATCACTCCTTATCGCCCATCCCCTCCCACTTGTGACTGTATGACTGTAACTTTGTCGCTTGTATCCTTACGATTTATATAGACTGTTTCCTAGTGTGATTTGATTGCTTATTTGTACCCTATGTCTATTATTAAGTGTTGTGCCTGATGATTCTTGACTCTTGATGAATGTATCTTTTCTTTTATGTACACCGAGAGCATTTGCACCAAAGACAAATTCCACATGTGTCCAACCACACTTGGCCAATAAAGAATTCTATTCTATTCTATTCTATTCTATTCTATTCTATTCTATTCTACTCTACTCTACTCTACTCTACTCTACTCTACTCTACTCTACTCTACTCCTGTTCATAAATGCAAATGTTTGACCCCTTCTCTCACCATCTTTTTTTTTTTTATTGGGGGGGGCTTTATGTTGGCTCGTGGAATTAAAGCCTGTTTGTTTCTCTTCTAGGATTTGATGACTTTTGAGCATCAGTGGGCAAACTTCTTTGCCAATTTTGACACCGAAATTCCTTTCATGCTGGAACTCTCAGAATCCCAAACAGGAGAGGTAATGAGCCAAATTTCAGAGGAATAAAAAAAAAAAAACTTCAATTTACATATCTGGTTCTAGATAGTCCTCGACTTGCCAGCATTCATTTAGTGATCGTTCGAACTTAACAACGGCACTGTTAAAAAAAAAAAAAGTGACCCTTTTCCACACTTACGACCGTTGCAGCATCCCTAGTCAAATGGGGAAGCCAGATTCACTTAACAACCCTATTACTAACTTGACAACTGCAAAAACGCGTTTAATAACTGCCCCAAAGGTCATAAAATGGGGGGGAAGACTCCCTTAACAACTGTCTCATTTAATAATGGAAATTTGGGGCGGTGGTGTTTCAATAGAAGCCGTAAGTCGAGGACTGCTGATGCTTCCTTGCCGCACAGCTCCTCCTTTTGCAAAGTGAAGCTTGTTGTGCGTTTCGAGTCCTTCGGGCTCCTTCCCTGCCAGAGAGTAAACATCCTTTCTCTTCAAGAACAAAAAAGGCATCCATCTGGCTGGCTGAAGGCGATTTGGAGGGCGCCCAATGGAAGCAGGCAGGCGCAGGGCTGGAGGCAGCGGGAATTCCGGCATTTGGACAACAGCAGGAATAGCAGCGGCACTCGGGCTTTTAAGCCGCTTCATGGTGCTTTTAGAGCCCTGAGCTCTAAGTGGTTTATACAGTCAGCCTCTCGGCCCCCAACAATCCTCCTTTTAACTCCCTTGGAAGGACGGAAGGCTGAGTTAACTTTGAGACGGTCAGGATCGAACTCCTGGCAGTGAGCAGAATCAGCCTGCAATAGGGCATTCTAACCACTGCACCACCAGGAAGGAGAATGAGAAAGGGAATTAAGGGAGGGAGGGAGGGAGGGAAGGAAGGAAGGAAGGAAGGAAGGAAGGAAGGAAGGAAGGAAGGAAGGAAGGAAGGAAGGAAGGAAGGAAAGAAAGAAAATCAATAGCCCTTGGACTTATATACCGCTTCACAGTGCTTTCCAGCCCTCTCTAAGCAGTTTGCAGAGTCAGCCTCTTGCCCCCCACAACAATCTAGGTCCTCATTTTACCGACCTTAGAAGGATGGAAGGCTGAGTCAAACCTTGAGCCAGGATCTAACTCCTGGCAGTGGGCAGAATTAGCCTGCAATACTGCACTCTAAGTACTGTGCCACCATGGCAATCAAATCGATTAGAAGAAGAGAAGAGAAGAGAATAAGAACTATAGAATAGAATAGAATACAATAGAATAAGAACTATAGAATAGAATAGAATA